CACATTATGATAGAGAGACATTACTATGGAGAGAGTGGATTTTGGGGTTCAACTATAAGTAAACCATAGTTATTCCGCGAAACAGTGACACGATGTTACATCTTAGATCAATGCGTACCTATGGCACATGTGCTTTTACTTCCGGTACGTTCTCTCAAGCCAATCGCAGGTCAAGAGCGGTTATTTAAAAAAAATCCCATTAGCCATGATTCCTACAATCATCCTAACTTTCAATGGAAAAAAAAATCAAGTTTCTGTACCGCTAAATGTGCATGAACCATTAGATTCAGAGGGAATATGAAGCCTAAACCGTTACGAAGCTCAGAGTTTTAATTTCATTGTGTCAGAAAGTCAGTCGATGCCCTTGAAAGAGCCGAATCACAAACAAAAACGGGAAGCATCGCCAACCCTAAACAGTCAAAGCACCAAGGGCTGCTTTGTTATGAAGAGGATACTAACGAACACACTGTGAAAAAAGGCATTTGGACCAAATACAGCCAGTTTTGTACAAACAAAAGATCTCGCTGGGCCCCCTCGATGCCTAATTTTGACCGTAAACTATACAAAGGGTTGGGGGGGGGGGGTGGAGAAACTCAGCTGTGCACAAGCCAAGTAAAACTCAGACCCAAGTAAAAACTCAGACATTCTCAAGGAGAGTTTACATTGAAAAAAACCGTACCTTTTCTATTTTGTCCAAAATACAAGTAGAATTAAAGTAGTGAATGTGTCTTTTTTTAAATACAAATATATACTTACAAAAATCTCAAATGCTTATTTACAAGAAACCATATGAAAGAGTGTCCATCACTTTGCCACACAAATGGCCACCAATCGGTCCATAGGGGTTCAGGTGGCAGCAGGGCGGATGCAGTCACACGGTCGTCTCGCCGTGTTTACTGCTGGCCAGTCTCGTGTAAAACTTCCGCCACGAGTTCAACGTCTTGCCTGACCAAATCCAGAACCCCGAGGTGATGCCGACGATCAGGGTCATAAGGTATTTAATCATGAAGACGGTGAAGTCGGGGCTCATCTTGGGCGGCGGATGCTGCGGGCAGGGGATGGCAAACGTTTTACACGTCTGGCTGACCCAGGTGCGCTCCCACTGCTCGCGAAAGGCCTGCTCGTAAAAGTAGCAGGCGATGACGATGGTGGCCGGCACGGTGTAGAGCACACTGAAGACACCGATGCGCACCATCAGCTTCTCCAGCTTCTCCGTCTTGGTGCCGTCGTGCTTCATGATGGTCCTGATGCGGAAGAGCGACACGAAGCCGGCTAGCAGGAAGGAGGTGCCGATGAAGAGGTAGACGAAGAGGGGCGCCAGCACGAAGCCGCGCAGGGCGTCCACGCTGTGCAGGCCCACGAAGCAGACCCCGCTGAGGACGTCGCCGTCCACCTGCCCCACAGCCAGAATGGTGATGGTCTTGATGGCCGGCACAGCCCAGGCGGCCAGGTGGAAATACTGAGAGTTCGCCTCTATAGCTTCGTGACCCCATTTCATCCCTGCTGATAAAAACCACGTTAGAGCCAGGATAACCCACCAGATGGAGCTGGCCATGCTGAAGAAGTACAGCATCATGAACAAAATGGTGCAGCCCTCTTTCTTGGTGCCTTGGACCACCGTGCGGATGTTGCTGTCAAACTTCTCGTTGCAGACCACCTTGTCCTCCAGCAGAAAGCCAGCGATGTACGCGACAGATACCATCGTGTAACAGCCAGAGAGGAAGATGATGGGCCGCTCTGGATAACTGAACCTCTTCATGTCCACTAGGTAGGTCAAAACTGTGAACAAGGTCGAGGCGCAACACAACACGGACCAGATGCCAATCCAAATACGAGCGAATTTCAACTCGTCCTGGTTAAAGTACATGACCTCACTGGAGTCTGTAGACTGGCATGGAGCCCCACAGTCTTCTTCCCCCAAGAAACGGTAATTTAGATAGGGAGGCACTTTTAAAGCTTTGGGACACCTGAAGCGCCCTTTGGGACCACCGTCATCTCCGGGCGGTTCCGTCACGCCAGGCGTTGGGTTGATCGGCGTGGGTTTATCGGACATGTTCTGACCCACGCACAACTCGCCGGCTCCGTGCACCGGGAAGGACTCGCAAGCCAGGCTGTCTGGCCACTGGAAGCCGAATTTATTCATGAGAGCCTCGCAGCCCTGCCGAGCCCTCTCGCAGAGCGACCTGCACGGGGGCAGAGCCTGCTCCAGCACGGTGCACACCGGGGCGTACATAGAGCACAGAAAGAACTTGAGATCGGGCGAACACTGAACTTTCACCAGCGGGTAGAACTGGTGCACCTCCAGCCCCGCGTCTTCCTGGTTCGTGTGTCCCAGCAAATTCGGCATGATAGTCTCATTGTAGGCTATATCCGTACAAAGGGGGATGGAAATCGGCTGGCAGAAGCCGTGCTCCGGGATGGACATCCCTCGCTCTCCGTACTGCCCGTTTACTCCCAATAGTCCGATAAGGAGAAAGGGAAGCAGCGGAGAAAGTATCCGAATAACTTTACAATGATGCATTACGGCGCAACTGCAATCCGCCATAGCGCGCCTGCTCTTTATATGGAATACACCAACTTCTCCGATCTTTCTCCTTAAAGGTCTTCTCGCAGATATTCCGAAAGTCTGCACGGCTCCACTTTTTCTGATGCACCGGGCTCTCGATCCCTTAATTCCTCTGCAAAAAGCTGAAAGCGCAGAGATGTTCGGAACCCAGCGACTCACTGGCGACCGCTCGCATCGCACCCGCACTCCGCTCTGCCCCGTTTCCAGGCGCCCCACTGTCTCTCCTTCATATGGAAAGGGAGGGACCTTGAAACAGATGGCAGATTTAGGGAGCGTGTACATTTTCCCACATTATGCGCTTTCGTTTTGGAAAAACCAGAATAATTGATTTGTGTACTACATCGATTCCAAAAGTCTGCCACACATCTTGATGACATTAACATCGTACGTGTGGAATACGAAAGTCTAAGAATTTCGATTTGATTAACATGACTGACGTAAGAACCAATAGCAGAGTTGTTTTAAAAAGTGTCTGTAAACTCCAAAATCACTGAATATATCTATGTCCAGTACTCCTCCACTGTCATGATGATAATAGATGTAAGAACAACAACTCAGATAAATTACTGGTGAGAAAAAAACGACGTCGTTAATAAGGGTGCGATGTGAACTCGACTCAGTACATATCACCCTTTCTTAATTGTACGAGTTAAAATGTAGAATTAAGGGAACGGGAATCCAGAGAAAATACTTTATGCAACACATACAGACTCTTCTAATGTATTTAGTGGTGTGTGGAGCAGACGTGGGTCTGATAATTGAAGTGTCTTTTAAAATAATTTCATTTTTTTAGATTTAATAACTAATTTAGCACATTTTTTTTTCCGGAGGGACTCTTGCCCTGCTGTCAGTGCAGCACAGTGCCAGCTATCGCCAGTCAGTGTTTCACCACTGCATCGCTTCTGACCCAGATCGTCCCCCTCTCTCCGTGAGCTCCCCATCCCCATGATTTAACGAGGCTTGCGCCGGTCGAATACTCTCCCAAGCCCCCACTGAAGAACCCAAACCAGATGGCAAATCCAAGCACAACTAAAGTCTAACAGCCTTGTGGTCTCCATTATAATAGGCCGCAATGGCTGAAGATAGGGTCTCTTAGTGGTGGTGGGGGGGAGGGATTGGGGAAAATCACTCTGCCTTAACTCCAAATCACTGTGTGATTTCTAAACTAATAATAATCTAGTATTTGCAATAAACCGGATGAGTATTTTCAAACTAGTAGATGAAATCGTGATTTCATGCAAAGGCATGTTTTTTTTTTTACTATCAAGTAAAATCGCGATGCTCCCTAAATAAATTAGGTCCTATATCCTTCCTTATTGGCTGTCGTGTGTTTCTATTAGGCTGAAACAATTTACACCTGACATCACTTGGACCGGAAAGCAATGCTGTTCAGTTGGAGGTCATCGATACACTTTTGAAATGACTGCATTATTGAAATATTTTGCATATATGCATCTAAAAACTGTAGCGAATGCAAGTATTTTGTAATGTCGTTTATCAGTTGTTTTTTTGACTGGTAAACAGCACAAACTAATTTCATTGTTTTAAATGTATATGCAACAGCAATTATTTTAGTTTTTTAATCCTTTATAAACCTGAAAATATACGTTCATGAAAAATGACCAGACTAAAAAGTTAACTTGTCAGGCGCTTTGCTCTTCGTTCCCATAGCGATCCCAGACATGTAATCTTTTGGTAGAATTCCAAAGGAAATAAATTGCTCACAGCATCTTTTTACTTAATTTAATTGACCAAGGATCTCTAAGGGAATTCTATAGTTTATTGTATACAGTGTTTAGAATTGGGTTAAACTTATTGACCGCAGACGATCAGTGGTGACATGCATTCATTTTTTCACCCTGTGGTCTTGCATGTTGACTGGGCAACCAGCGCGTGCGAGATGATGTTCACAGTAATTGCGATCCCAGTGCCCATCCGCCAGCGGACCCAAACTGGGCCGATGAAAGTGCACTGCAGCGATAAAGCCGTACAGCCGGTCTGCAGGGGGCTGCTGTCCCTGGCTGGATTAATGACGGATGGAGGGAACTGTGAAATTAAAGCAGATTGTGAACTGACAAGCCCGCAGCTGGCCGGTTATCTGGCTGCAGAACTAACAAGGCGTTCGCCTGGGGGGTGATGTGGAGGAGCCCAGCCTTATTGCCCTGTGGACCAGCACGGTGGGAGGAGGTGAATTGAAACTATCTGTGTTCTGAGCACAGTCAGCTGCAATATTTCCGTTGTTTTCTTTCTCTCTCTCTTAACAATCCTGTATATACTCTGACTATAAGAAAAAACACCTAAATGATATAAAAATGTCTAACATTTAATCCTAATCCAGAAACAATAACTGGACAGTTTATCTAAAAAACACAAAATTATGCAAGTTGCCTTTTCGGATGGAGAACATGAGGCGCACTTCTATCGTTTCACGGCGGGAGGTATTGATGTTTTATTTTAGGTAACGGTAACAGTTTACAGGGGACATTATATTTCCCGTAGTGACATTACATCCAGGTCATAACAAAGAGAGATAAGCAGCCACTACTGCACTGAGCCACAGCATGTAGAATGTGACACGGTTTAAACTCGGGATCCGGGCTGCTTCTCAGCGGCAGGGAGACAGCAAGCGAGCCTTTCAAAATGCAGACTCTGGCCTCAGCACAGCAGGGACACGTGTAAAATACACACACACACATATATATACAGTATATATATAACTGTATATATGTTTGTGTGTGAATATATATATATATATATACATATATATATCACCTTCTATTTTACTAACCCTGAGGGACACCAATGGTCCAAATTGCCTGGGTTTAAGCATTATTATTATTATTATTATTATTACTACATACACTGGCCTAGTCTTAACAGTTCATAACAAAAGTTACACAACAAATAAATATATGTATGTTACGGACGTCACATTCGGGATGTCAAATTATCTCAGAAATCTCAGAAATGCCAAGAATGAGAAGAACCCCAGTAATGCAGGAAACAATGCATCACATCACAGGCAGTTACTCTTAGCCATCCGTGTAGGTATTTTTAAATTAAAAGCAATTTAGTTATGGAACAAATCCAGCTCCCATAAAAAAGACGACATGAAATATACTTCAAATAAACATGCTCACGTACACATATAACCATCAATCTATCAATGGCCTCACTTTCACTCAACAAATTATAGTATAGATTGACAATCAAATTAAAATAAGAGGCTTCAAGTACTTCTGTAATTCAGTTTTGTAAAATATTGGACTAATTAAAATACAGTTTTTGCAATGATTACATCAACACTATAGACATCTGAGTGCAAGGTGATAACTTGAGACTAGAACGTTGATCAGAAGGCTATAGAGCCAAAGCAGACCGTTAACTTGATGTATTACAACCAGCATCTGTAATATAAGCAGTACCAAGATTGCATTAAATTAGTGTAGCAAGGATAAGAAATAACTTCGGAATAACTGATGGCTGTTTCGCTGCTTTATGTACAAACCAGTTTGTAAGGGGGTTAGAGGAAAAAGTCTAACATAAAAAAAATATGTACAGAAGATGAGTATGCAGTATGCCACCATCAAACAGATGTACAGCAGTCAAACTTGAAAACAAACAACTGGTTTCTGTTACTCCACAGCATTAAGGAACGCCCTGACACCCGGCTGTAATACAACCAGGTGTAATAGTCATTGTAACAGTAATATATAAATATTGATTTATTTTCATGCATTGCTTTTTCCCTTGGGTCTCAGTATTGAAGAAATTCCTATACATATTTGAGGGAAGCATTCAGAAAGTTTAACGGCTGAATGGTCACTAGAAATATTTGTCCTAAAAAGGACGTCAATTATGGTGTATTTGACTTCATGCACAGCCCAGCCTAGAAGTGTTGCGTCTTTGCCTAATGATGGATTTGTCTATTAAATCCACAGTAGCATCAATGTGTCTATCTATATTGCCTCAGTAAATATATACAAGTTTGTGTGTGTGTATGTCAGTAATACAACTATGTAGCTGAAGAATGAAGCCCTTCAGTACTGAAGGCAATCATCAGATAATCTGCTTTGGCCTTGGCCTGAATTGCTGAACTCCCTTACCTGGTCAAACACTCAAGATATATATCTTGAGTGTCAACATGATTATTGCCTTGAATTTTCTTTTATGGATCAAAAGTTTCACTTCATCTGTGTGAGAAGACATGAGCGGAATCAGAAGCCTTACAGTTTTTATATTTGTGGGTTTTTCCAAAGAAGGAATTAGAAGACACAATCGCATGGTCGGCACGTTAGATGCAGCGGACGTTGTTGAGGGCGGCACGTCAACAGGTGCTCACACGGTGTAAGACGCACATCGAGCATTTCCTCAGGGGACCGGGCTTGTCGCTTTGCCCGCAAGGCTGATCTGAACTGAAGAATGACGGAATAATGAAACAAAAATCCCCACTGCAGCTCATTCCCCTTCTTGTCATTGTGATCTAGAAGAGAAGAAAACAAATACAGTGAATGTAAGCGGTTCCCGTGTATGTCACAGTCACAGTTTACAGTCACAGTAACCTTTATGCTGGATTCCAGGAACTGCACAGCTTTGCAAAGTCCGCATTACAAAAGATAATGGCTTATTTTTTCACTGTAAGACTTATCACCCTGTATAAGAATATACTAGCTATGTGGTTTTTTTTTTTGCACATAATTATTTTACTGGTTTCAGTACCAGTCCGCTGCTGCTGAACATTATTTGGTTTTGCCGGTTTTGACACTTGAGATAACTCAATAACTGTTTCGTGGATCTTTTTCAGACTTTTCAGAGACATTGTAGGAGGGGCGACAATTTACTGATTAAATTTTGACACAGGTGGACCCAAAATTGAAGTGATGCCGCTTAGTGACTGCAAAAGGAAGGGTGAACGCAGATGGCATTTGACTATGTGAATGTGACAAGTTAAAAAGTATTTAATGTAGAATGATTCTGCAAATTGTCATAGAAGTGGAATGTGCAATAAATGAATATACTTACCTATCATGACAAGGACTCACAGAATTCCGGTAAAAACACATTTATGAACCTTTACATTTCCAGGTGATCCAGGTGAAATTGTACAAGATGTGCATGTGGGATGAGTAGAGTTTAGAGGAAATGTCCAGGGAATACAGTGCTGTCATTTCCAACTGCACCAAATCTAGTTTTCATTGCTGATGACATCAGTTAACCCAGTGGCAGCTGAATATGATTATTTTGGTTTGTAAACAAACAGATGCATCCGTTCTCCCTCAATATAAACACCTATAGAAGATGATGAGGAAGCCGCTGACTTCTGTGAGCAAGGTGAACAGACATGAGCAGCCTTATAAACATTTGATGGTGTTCCTCCATGAGTCGGTGTAACATACTGGGTCTGGCTGGTTTATCAATCCTTAATCCCTCTTTTTTTGTCTGGGGCTACTGCCAATCTTGCACTGTTGAATAATTTATTTGTTACCACAACCCCCCTCCCCCTCCCGGTCTTGGAAATCATTTCCCAGCAGACCTGTGGCTAACCGTGCCTGAAAATCTCAGATGGCCAAGGCTTCTTCCAAAAGGCCCCTTGTAAGCTTGGCCAGCGGCCGGCCCGAGCCCATTAACGGAGGCCTAATTCAAAAGAGTCCCGCCTGCGAGAAACGGACGAATGAGCTGCAAGTGAAGGAGAAAGAGGAAGACAGCCGGTATGAGAGGAAGAGCAGAAGGAAGCCTGGATGCCTGCTAGGAATGTGAGTGACCCGTGACGGTGACGGTCCAACCGGGTTGGATCGAGCTTGTGCCAACTGCCTTATGCCCATTGATTAGTCTGTATTTAACCTGCCAGCGATCAGGCTCCCGAGACTAATTAGTGCTAATGCTACCGGCAGGGACGCCCCATTAAAACCTCGCCTGCTTCACGGGGCCTTGATGTCAGCTCTCAGCGATGCCGCCTCATGTCAGCCGTTTCGCGTAAGCGGCGTGCCCAGCCTTCGTTAACATTCCGTACCATGCCAGCAGAGGCACGAGCGTTCGCCAGTTCCTGGCAAACCTGTCGAAGGGGAAAAGTCTGCCCAAGGTAGCTGATTCTCTCTCCTCGCTCGAAACGTTTCGGCAAAGCAAATGTTGGTTTCCGAGTGCCCCGCCGCGCCTGTACTCTTTGGAAAGTCTGCAGCCTGCATGCTGTGCCTTTTGAGCTGAAACAGTGGAACGTAGTGCAACGATGGCCTGCCAAATCCCGGTGAAACGCAGGCTTACGTTCATCGACTAAAAGAACAGGGCCTTCCAGCTCAGCCACCGCTGGTCCTACTCCTGGCCACCCCCCTTCTCTGCCAGTGCCTTAGCGCGTCTAAGACAGACGAGGCTGGATTGTCCTGGTTTAACAGCCAATATATACATATTTTTGGTGCTCAATGCCAGCACACAAAGTAATCTGCTCCGGCGGGATCAAAAACAGCCAACGGAACATGGTTTTCCAGGGATCTCCGGGTGAAGCTGCTCCCCATTTGGCCAGCTGCTCTGCATAGCGTGATTGTAAATCAGGGGTGGACTACAGTACTTAAAGCCCACTACAATGATGCTGCTAGGGAGGAACACTTGCTCGGGACATTGGGCACACTATGGTTCCAGATGCTTCCGCGGCTCCATAGAGGGAGTCTAATAGAAAGCCCAGCATCCATGATTATGTCTGTACCACTGCTCCCAATTCCGGGGGTCTTAAGGGTCTTGCCCGCACAGCGTGACCCATCATCCCACCGTTATCCCCACTGCGAGGCAAATTCTGATCATTTTATCCAGCTCGTAAACAGAAGCACTGGAGAAAAAAGAGCAAAAACATATGGAGGGGTGAACTCAAGATGAGGACGGTGCTGCTTGACTTTAAGGCTCCCCACTGGAAAGGCGGAATTGTAGCGAGATCTGTCATTTCATTTTCTCCCAGTCTTAAAAATAAAAACACAGAGGTAAGAATTGCTGCTTATTTTGATATGTGGGAATGCTTGTTTTAATTTGGTCCTGCAACGGCCACTATAGTCGTAAGTGATGCTGACGTGTGAGATGTAGCGAGAGAACATACAGGAGATGGTGAAGGACACATGTGAACAAATTATTAAAGTTTATTTATAAAAAACAGCTCACAGAACAAACCATGGTACCAGGAGTGCACTGCTACTTCACTGCGGTCCTCAGATTAATTATGGATTCTTTGTGTCCACTGGACGCAAAGGTTTCAGCTGTCGGGGAATGTCGATAGCAACTGGAGGGCGTTCAGTCAGCAATTCGAACTGTATATGGCAGCCGTCAGGTTAGATAACAAGCTTGAAGGAAGGAAGATCACGTTGCTACTCACCATTGCTGGTCCACAGACAGTTGAAGTGTTCACCACTTTTGAATCTGCAGAATCAGAGGAAGATAATCGAAAAGTTCACCGTGTATTGCTTGCCGCAGAAGAATGTCACCTATGAAAGGTGCGTGTTCCGAACACACATACAGTGACAGAATTAGAGTTTTGACAACTTTGTGACAGATCTGAAATTAAAAGCACAGACACGTGAATTTGCCAACCTGAAGGATTCCATGGCTAGAAACCAAATTGTGTTCAGCTTTTACGATAAAAATTATCAGAGAACATTTGCTCAGGGATGCCAAATTAACTTTGGAAGAAGCAAAAATAAAATACCATGCCAGTGAACTTTGTAGCAGCATGCTAAAACGTTCAATGAGATCACAGGCGAAGCATCAGCAGTGAGAAAAATCAACTGCAACCAAATAAAAATAAGAAACAAACAGCTTGTGAGAAATTTAATTGCAGACGATGTGAATCCCAGCACCAAATTAAACAATGGCCCACATTTGGAAAACAATGTGCAAAATGTAAAGGAAAAAAATCACTTTGCTAAAATGTGCTTCTCAAAGCCAAAACAGAACAGTGATAAATCTGTTAATCAAACTGAAAACATGGGCCTAGAAGATACATTTCTTGTGGGCATGACTTCAAATGATCCAGGTGAAAATGTTGCAGAAGGCAATGTTAATGTAGTAAATGATGACAAATGGATTGCGCAACAACGATCAGGCTAAAAGGCCAAATTAATAAGCACATAAGACATTAAAAAGATGAAAGACAAACCACAGTTCTACGGAAAGTCTACTGCAGTGAATGACTACAATGAGAAAAGATACAGTGTTTGTCAATGCAGGCTGAAAAAAAATGTGAAAGACAAAGTGCATAATTTTACTTTTTACGCGAATCACTGCTGACAATGCATCGAAGTATATGGGACTGGTTAAATGAACATTCCAGATTAGCTGTTCTCCCGCACTACCAAAATCAGACATGGCAGACTCCATCGTCCAGAGCTACACAGACGTGTTCAAAGGGTTAGGTGTCTAAAAAAAAAAGTCTAACTGAAAAGAGATGCCCAGCCTGTAGAGCAGACACCGAGATGAGTTCCAGCTTCATTGCATGCTCGCTTGAAGACAGAGTTAGACAGAATGACCGAGATGGATGTAATCACAAAGGTCCAGGAGCCGACCGAGTGGGTGATCTCCATGGTATGCATAGGGAAGAACAGAGACTTGAGAATTTGCATTGATCCAGGTGACCTAAATGCAAACACAAAGAGTGGGCATTGCCAAATTCCAAAGTATGATGAAATAATCAGTAAGATGGTAGGGGCACAATTCTTCTCAAAGCTTGATGCAGCACATGGATTCTGGCAATAATTATGAAAGTTCAAGATACTGTACCTTTAACACACCATATAGGAGGTAAAGATTCCTGTGAATGCCCTTTGGGATTGTTTCAGCCTCAGAAATCTATCGTAAGGCCATGGATCTGATGTTAGAAGGCCTGGATAGTGTCAAATGCTACATCAATGACATAATCGTATGGGGATCCTCAAGGGAGGAACACGGTGAGCGACTGGAAAAAGTGCTAAAAGCTGAATAAAGAAAAATGTGATCTGTTTATATAAGGAATTGCCTTTTTACGAGACAAACTGTCAGCCAAGGGTGTGGAACCTAACCAGATGAAGGTGAACACCATACTCCACAGACAAGAAATAGGTCCTAAGAGTGATGGGGATGATCACAACAGAGTTCCAGTGGATGACAAAGCATGAGCAAGAGTTTGCTGACTTGAACACAGCGCTGACATCTGTTCCTGTATTAAAGCACTACAATCCAACAAAGAGGCTCAAAGCATCACCAGATATATCCAGAAATGGTCCCGGTCTGGTACTACTCCAAGCAGAAGGAGAAGATTGGAAGCCGGTGGCCTACGCATTCAGGTCAATGGCACAAGCTGAATGTAGGTATGTGAAAGTCTGGGCCTTGTGTTTGGCCTACAAAAGTTCCATCGCTACATTTACAGGCTACCTACCTTCACAGGTGAGACAGACCACTGGTCACTGATAGCAATCAAGAAAATGTCTAAATGACATGTTGCCAGAAATCCAGAAATTAATGATGAAACTACAGAAGTATGACCTCTAGTTAATCTACACTCCAGGAAAGCACATAATCTTGGCTGATGTGCCGTCTTATGTACCAGCAGTGAGCCTGGTGAATAGTTCAGAAAAGGATGTTGGAGCTCATGTCGCCATGGTGACATCCACACTGCCAGCGATGGACAAGAAATCACAACAATTAGCTGAAGAAACTGCCAAAGATCCAGAGTTATAGTAAGTGATTGATTACATCAACAACGGTGTCGTAAATGACATGTTAGAGAGGCGGGGCAGAATAGGGATTCCACTAAGTGTGTGGCAGGAGATCCTGAACAGAGGACATCTGGGCATTGAAAAATGTAAAAGAAGAGCAAGAGAGTGTGTGTGTCTGCAGGCCAGGGAGACATTAGAACATCAAAAAATTGATAAGTAGATGGGAACCTTTCAAAAACATCAAAACAGACAAGAAGAAGAGCCAATAATGACTGCTGTCTGTCCCTCCTGCTACACCGTGGGAAAAGGTGGGAACAGACTAGTTTCACCTCAATGGGCAAGGCTATGTGATTGTGATTGGCTACCTTTCTAATTACCCAGAAATGGTGCTGCTACTTAACCAATCAGCAGCAACAGTGATTACTTTGCCTGACATGGCATATCAAGAAAAGTAGTGAGTGACAATGGGCCTTGTTTTAAATGACAATTTGCAGAACAATATGATGTCATCCACTTCTACTCCAACATATTCACAGCCTAATGGCAAAGCTGAAAAGTGGGTTCATAGCCTAAAACAAGTGTTGAAGAAAGCTATTGAATGTAGGTCTGACCCATATGTTGCTCTACTAAGCTATAGAGCATCACCAATAGATTGCGGCTTATCACCTGCTGAGTTACTGAGGCATCACAACATTCGTACAACATTGCCTTTTTCTGGAAGAGATAAACAGAACACAGTGATGGAAAAATTCAAACTTGCAAAACAGAGACAGAAGCATCACTATGACAAGTCAGTGAAACATCTAAAGCAAGTGAACAAAGATGATGTTGTCGGGGTCAAAGATGCATGGACCAGGAAAACCACTGTTCCTCAGGAGGTTAAACCCAGATCCTACACTGTAAAGACAGAAGATGGTAAAATTCTGAGACAGCAGAAGCATTCCAACCATCCACAAGGGATGATGTAACAGACATGCAGCTAGAACAAGCAAATGGCGAGACACGTCACAAGAAGTGGAGCTGCAGAGCCATCAGGCTTAGCAAGCTTACGAAGATCCACAAGAACAATTAAGAAACCTGAGAGACTATTTAAGTAAAAAAAAGCAATATGAATAATATTTCAGTTGTTATGGACTGTCAGCATTTCTTTCTTCGTGTTTTTTGTTGCTAAATATTTGTATAAAAGAGCTTCTGAAGTGAAACTTTCAATTAAGAAGTATTATTTTAGTTTTCTGATATTTTATTGGATTGATATTTTAATTTGATGATGGTGTTACTATAGTTAAGAAAGGGGGATTTGTTGATATGTAGAAATGCTTGTTTTAATTCGGTCCTGCGTGGCCCACTATAGCTGTACGCGATGCAGACGTGTGAGGAGATATAGTGAGAGAATGTACAGGAGATGGTGAAGGTCATGCACAAATTAAATTTAAAATGTTTATTCATAAAAAATGGCTCACATAGCATTTTGTTCACGGGGACATAAAACTGCTTAGACTCGTGATTTAGATTATTGTGAAAAATCGTCTTTAAAAATGTCATGACAGGTTCAGAGGGATCTAAAAAATAAACCTCTGCAGGGTCTCAGGTTATAGTGCAACAGGAAGGTCTTAACGGCATCATCTCTTTAAATATATATGAAATCTTAATAATATCTTTTATGCTTTGTTTTATTATTCAGTATAAGAAACTGAGTGGCCTATATTAAACACAGCTTAAATAGATGGATGTTCTTCAGAATGTGTCATCAGCTGAAAACAAATGGAAGGGTGGTGATGAGGAGTTTCCACAAAACACATCACAAGTGCATTAGGCAAAATATCAGTGGATGGCACCTGTAATATTTAAATATGTTTGCCAGCTTTTGACAGGGACATGCAGAATTTTTTTTTTATTAGTCATTCCATTTCCTCCAATTTAATCTCCGTAAAGGAGGAATTAGCTGCAACGTAAATGCCTTTTGATTATGTAAATGCATTTTCAGGAATATCCAGAGGTTATAGAAAGACTGCTTTCTGCCAGAGTGAGAGGCAGCTAGCAGGCTGTTTAAACAGGACGGAAGGCGAGAGATATGAGAAGCGCAGCGGCGGCAGTTGAAATGCTTGTTTTAATTGTCATTTTACTGAGACACAGCTGCGGCCAACTGATAAAATGCATGTTAAGAGCAGAAGTTGCTCCTTTGCTACGGCGATTCCTTTGACTGGAAGCTATCAGCAGCATCTCCTCCATCCTCTTTTCCACATTCTCTCACTGTTGCCGGCTCTGACCCCTCCCAGCTCCCCTCTGCCCCCCCCCCCTCCCCCCCCCCCCCCCCCCCCCCCCCCCCTCCCCCACGCCCCTGCCCCCAGCACCTGTCCTGCTTCATTATTTCCAGTGCGCAGCCCTGGCCAGCCAAAGGCACTGGCCTTCATCCCTTATTTCTGATTGATCAAAGTGCCGTCACCAATTCTCAGATCACAAAGAGAGGGGATGACTCCTCTATGCAAATCGGGGGGTGGACCTTGCTGGCCTTATTACCAAAGGAATTTATAATGCGTACAAGTAAAGAGTATATATCCAAATCATACTCTCGGCAGTGCTTATTTAACACCAATGGAGAGTAAATGTACCTGCACCTTGCACAGCTTATCACCTTTCTCCCTTTAAGATAACGAGGTATTTGGGGGCACTGGCCATTAGATCACTCCTGTATTTACATGGGTCATTTGGACAGGAGCGGACTCCCTGCGG